AAAGAAAGAAAGAAAGAAAGAAAGAAAGAAAGAAAGAAAGAAAGAAAGAAGGAATTACAGGGTTTCTGGCTGCTGAAGGGATTGCAGTGGAGACCCTCTGGGTGGGTTTCGCCATGAGAGACACTTTTGACGTCTGTGGTGTTTCAAAATAGAGAGGGTTATATCATGTGTCATTCTTTACAAGAAAATATACAGATTTGAGGGCGCTACTGAGCTGCTGCACAGCGGCCTTGCAGCCCAGCACGAGTGGCGCAGCACCCCATCTCCTCCCTACTTCAGGGGAGCGCCATCATTCCTCATTAGTTTAGACCTTGTGGCGATTTATTACAGCCCTCTGTCCTAAAATCTTTTGTGAGCTTGTGTTTCTGAGGAAAAGCTTCCATGTCACAGCTACCAGGGATACCCATTTGTATTAAAAAGAAGAAGGAGGAGGAGGAGGAGGAGGAGGAGGAGGAGGAGGAGGAGGAGAACTCTGAAAATAGCATAATAGGAAAAAAGGGTTCATATGATTTATTGCCAATGAGAGATTCCTATATAAGCTTATTTCGGGAAAAATTTCAAATTAGACCACCCAAGGGAAAGGAACACAGCAGGTAAAATAACCACGGAAAGAAAAAAAATTCTGCCGTCTTCTTTTCCTTTCCCTTTTCCAAACAGGGTCTCCCACTTAGCGCAAGCTTTCCTTGAACTTCATTCTTCTGTTTTGGCCTTCAGGGAGCGCTTCAGTTACCGACTACGCTTTACCTGTGACTGTTTGATGGTGTTCAGTTTGAGGATAGATAGCAAAGTTAAGATTTATTTAAGCCTCGTGTGTCCACAATACACCTATACCCATCTTGTTTTCCTACCCCGTTGAGACATGTTGAAAAAAAAAAAAGCTGACTAAATCTTAAGAAGTCCCCAAAATCTTCCCCGTTGGAAAGCAGTCGGTAGCATCCTTGTGGAGCCTCCGGGAGACTGAAAACGCAACGCCGCTATTCAGTTCAATCCTGGAGCGTTGCATTCTACTGAAAACCCCAGCTGGAGTTCATGGGAAGGGACTGTTTCTAGCGAGGAGGGGTCTGGTGCAGGGCTGAAGGATTTACCGGTAAGGGTCCGGTTGCCTAGGCAAGCCGTATTTCTAGGCGTCGCTGTCTCTATGCGCTCTCTTCCTCTCACCCGTTCTTGCCTTAAAACCTAAGGAATTCACAGGAAAAATGGTCTACAAAAACAGCTCTCGGTCCTAAAACAGAAGCTGCTCCAGATAGAACGTGGATGGAATACTAAACTCATTAAAGAATGTAACTCAAAAATTAAAAGATGGTGATATACATGGGGTGGGGGTGAAGCAGACCGTTTAGTTCTTGATAAGTAACTCTTCAGGCATCCAAGCAGAAAACCCGAGTGCCCTCGGAGGGATGCTTATGCAGGATTCAGGCCTTTGCAGGGAGATTCTTCAACAGTGAGGTAGCCGGGCATAGTGTTGCAAGCATGTAAGACCAGCATTTAGGAGGCAGAAGCAAGATGATCAGGAGCTCAAGGCCAGCCTGGACTACATGAGATCGCCTACCCTGCTTTAAAAAAAAAAAAAATCTATAAAGAAATTGCTTTCGTGTTCTGTGAGGTTTTATAAGGTGGGAATTCAAAACACCCATTTTTTTTTTCGACATGTAAAGAGAAAAGAATGTTTTTCTGTAACGTGGAAGTCACATACTTTTAAATGGCTTAAGGAGAAAGATCGCCCGTCCGCTGTCTTTACTAGATAAACGCAATCCAGAAACGGTTTACAGTGACGGTCAAGTTCATTTAAATCTAGAGTTAAGACCGCACATTTCGCTCCTAATGAGCCAAAAGCAATATACACAGCGGTGGAAAATTGAGTCTGGGGTGAGGGTGGGAGAAAGCAAGCACACAGATTAAATGTCTCTCTTGCTTCGGAGCCGGTGAAACTGAAACGCGTCGGAAACCGTCTGTATTCCTTACTTTTTTCCACATAGCATTCACGGACACCTTTTCAGTATTTATGCCTTACAAGGACAAAAGCAAACGCTGGGGCCTCGCTTAGGGCTCTTTTTAAGCTTAAAGAATGAAAAATGTTTCAAATGTCGTTCAAGTGTGAACAATGCAAGCCCATGGTCACAAAAATTACTTCCTATCTATCTTGTTTTCTCGCTAGTCTACAGGGAAGAGTATGGTTTCTAGAAGGATTGCTATAGGACTTGGGGTTTTGGTCCTCAAAGCCCGCTCCAACGGTGGTACCCCTGATCACGCAGAGACTAAGTTTCTTCGGCCTCTGACTGCAAGCTCCAGCCCACGATTTATCCCCCCCCCCCGCAACCCCCCTCCTCGCTTCCAGTTTCTGGCTTGTGATGTGGCCAAGGGTTGATCATCCCAGAGGGTACCAGTGCAATCAACCCTCATCACGGATCTTTGGGCTGAGTTGCCGCTACCTGCGCCAACGCGGCACCTGGGCGACCTTGGCTTTGCGCATACAGCCGATGAGTCATCGTGGCGGGCTGCGTGGCTGTCCTCCCCCGCAGACCCCCAGAACCCAACCGGGCCTCCTGCTCCCACGTGACACCCGGGGGCCCAGCTCCTCTCGCAGCCCCGCCCGCAGCCACGTCTGTGCAGCCATCTCTTTGGCTGCCCTGTTGCGCGGCAAAGCCCACGGCATCTGCTATTTGTCACTCAGATGGGGCGGGGACCGCCCCGAGCCTTGATTAAGACGCGGCTGGGGCGTTCTCCAGCCTCACTCGCCTGGCAGGCGGGAGAACGCTCGGAGAGGCGCGGCCGCGAGCACGGGGCTCGCGGCAAGCGGAACGGAGAGCGGAGTGCGGCCACCTCCGGGTCGCCGTCATGGCCGCGTAGGCTGAGCGCGGGGCAGCTCGCCTGAGTCCAGCTACCACGGGTGGGTAAGTATGTGGGTGATCTGGGTGCTTCGGGGACGTGGCGCGGCAATGCCACGGGGAGGATTGCCGCGCTCTGCGTGGACCTCGGTGTTCCGGACCCTTCGGGTACCGAAGTGATAAACTCCTATCATGGGTTTCACAGCTGCGGCCAGGGTTGCCGCGAAAGACTCCGGGTCCCTCCGAACGGCACTAGTGCCACGATCGCTCACACCCGTCGCTGGGTGGTATGCAGCACTTAGCCTTGGTCTTTAAGAAAGACCTGGCAGCACTCCGAACTCAACCAAAGGCTAAAAAGAAAGTCCGGGAGAAGTGATTTGCGTCCATTTGGGGAAATGCGCGTATCTTTGATGCTTTAACGATAACTGCGTTCTCTCTTGCGCTCTTAAAGCTTTTGGAGAACGTTGGACTCCTAAAAACTCCTGGGAGAATTCAAAGTGCAACTTGTGTCTTTTTTTCCCCCCCAGTTCCCGCATTAACTTTAAGGACGCTAGGAAGGGTTTTCCGCTTTATACTGAAAAGGGGTCCGGAAAGGTTGGGAATCCCCCCATAACAGATGTGCTACTTTGATGTTTTAGGAATCGGGTGAAAATTAAAAATAGAAATGTCCCAGTTTAGGTTCTTCTTCTAGGAATCTTCCTCGAACCCCACCCTCCAAGGCAGCTTCAGGGCCCCTACTGTTAGCTCTCTGGAGCTTGGCAAGGTTCTGCTCCCCGAAGTGTCCCCCCCCCCCGTTTTTCTTTTTCCTCTGCGTAGCAACCCATCGGTCTGGGGTTGGCGTCTCTGGCTGCTTACTTAGCGCATGGTAAGTGATTAATATTTTAGCGACGTATGAAACGATAAAATCTGTTGTCTCGCGGTTTTTGCTCATAAAACAGGGGGAAATTTACATACTAGTAAATGAGAACGTTCGTTTAAGTCACGACTCGGTTGACGACATTTGACATCTGCATTTCCCGACCTCAGGGTCCCGTGCCTCTGTACATATCCTTTACAGAGCAGCGTTGTTCCCAACGAGAAGCTCCTATTCATGAGTTCTGAAATCAATTAAATAGAGAGTGATTTTTTAAAAATTGAAAATCGCAAACGGAGAAAACGTAAGAATGTGTCTCAAGTCAGGGGGTCTTTGTTTTATGACTGAACCCCCCACATTAGTTTTATACACGCATATGTGTGTAATGGTGTTCCAATGCCATTCCTTACTATGAGTCATGGTCAAAAAAGTTTAAAAGCCACTGCACTAGATAAATTGTCATATGCACCAGAGGACATACAGAAGAAGGCTTCCTGTGTAGTACCACAAGGCTGGACAACGCCTTCATGTCCTTCTGATGGGGAAACATAAATTATGTACCAGTCATAAAATGGAACATGGTACAGGAGCGAATGCGGTGGTGCTGTGTCTCCATACAGACACCTCTCAGTGTGGAGGAGAAAAACAAATCAAAACAAGTTACTTAATATTGCATGATTTCATTTATGTGAAATTCAGAAACTGGCAAGCAAAGCTATGGTGTAGGAAAGCACAGAGATTGAAAATCATAAAGGGAAAAATATAAATTAATGCTATGAACGTCGTTAATGGTCACCTCCTGGGAAGGGGGGGGCAAGTGGGTATGAGGGAACATTAACAACTCTTATGAAGCTAGAATATACCTCATCTTCTGCCCAGTGAACAGTGGCCTGAGCCATGTTTCAGGATTAATAACTATTAAATGATACACGTATGTCTAAATGTTAACCCCCCAACCACCACCACCAATATATTAAAGAAAATGAAGAAGCCTGTATCCAGGGCTTGAAATCTCATATTTTCCACTGCGTCATAAAGAGTCTTGATCAGGGAGAGTTACCTAGGAAACGCAACAGCATTAACATTGCATTTCATAATTTCTTTGGTGGGCACATTTCTAGTCATTAAATTCATCATATGTTTCTATGCCTTAAAAATTTTAATATACTTTTCAAAGTACTTAGAAGAAAATTGAAATCATTCAATATGCTATTTTTAAAAGTAACTTTGCTATGACTTGGAATTATATTTTATTTCGCAATTTAAGCTCAACAGGCTTTTGTTAAGGGAAATGTAAATACTAAAAAGGTAACAAAACACAAAAAAATTTTCAATTCTTCGCTCTGGGTTTTAAAATGCTTCCATGCTGTGGTATTTATTTCCATTTCAGCTATTCAAGGGCTCCAGGCCATATTTCTAGTGCTCAATTTCCATGTGTAACTATATATTATATTGTGTTACACATTCCTACGCTACAGACCAGAACATTCCCACCATAGCACATTTCTCTTGGGAAACATTGTTCTGGATGCGGGTTGTGGTTGAAGAAACTTTCAGATAATAAACAGACATTTATCTTTGTGATGTGTGTGTGTCTTAATTTAAAAAACAACAACCCCCCCCGCAAAAAACTCAGCTGTTAATGAAATTGATTACACAATGATTTCTAAAGTGTTCACAGTTGTATTTTGCCCACAGTTATGAAGCTCATGCCTCCGTGGGTGTAGATGTGCATGCTTTGTTTGTGCGGTGAAGATAGCACATGGTTAGCTGCATTTTCTTTTTTTTACCTGGGAAGGCGATTGTCCCTGTGCCAGGGGCTTGCTGCACCCCCTCCGTCATGGGTGATGCTCAGATTAGCCTGGGCTTGCCTCTGGGCTCTGGAGCCAGTTATCATCTGGAAAGATTACAACTTTTTATGCCCTGTTGCTTTACATGTAGTATATGGTTCTGTTTTAAGGATTGAACATGTTTTCAGTATGGTATTTTTTCTTCTTTCCCTGTGAGAGTCTTGAGAGGTGTTCTCTGCCTCCAGTGTGGAAGGCTTGGGCGATTTCCCTCTTGTTCCTGGTTCCTAACTTGCCCCACAATCAGAACATGTGTCAATACCACTGATTTGCTTACTGTTGAGGGTCGCTTTATGATCTTAATTGCTCCTTGTATGATCACAAAGAGTGTGTAATCACAGGCTTTCTGGGCAAGTTGACGTAGGTATCGTGTGCACATGCATTTGACACTCTTACCTAAGGTTTCTTTTTCCAGCCCGGGAAGTTTTTGCCCTTGATTTCATTGTCCCCTGGGCACCTACTTTCTCCCCCCCCCCCCCCCCGGTTCTTTAGGAACCACAATTAGATGTATTAAGTTTTTAATCTGGCTTTTAAGGTTTTAATCCACATTGAATTCTGGATATTATTTCTTTAGATCAATATTCTACTCAAAACCCTTTGCCCTTTTCTCCAAATTGAGTTACATCTTACTTGCAAATACGAAGTGTGGAGAAGGCAAAAATGAAGGGTGTGGCCCGATGAAATGTCCTAATGTATATGCCTGTGTGACTCCCCAGATGTGGTCATAAGGCCTTTTCAATTCCGCTCCTTCCTGTGGAGCACTGCCTTCCCCCACTCCACTCCCTTGATTTCAATCACCGGGAACTTGAAAATGTAGTGTACTTTTTCCCTCACATTGTGTTCTGGAGAGCCATTCATACAGCATTATAAGGTTGTTTGTTTTTCCTTTCTATATGGGACTGGCAAACGGTGACCTATTAGCAAATTCCAGCCCATTATATATTTTCATATAACAGCTTTTATTGGAACATGGCCAAAGCCCATTTCTGTGTTTATTATGTGAGACTATCTGACCCAGAAAGCCTAATGTATTTACTTTCTGGCTATTAACGGGAAGTTTATTTGCCCCACTTCAACACTATCCATGACTAACACTTTATTTAACATTTAAGTTGTTTTCAATATTGGACTGTTACAAGCTGAATTGCTACAATGTTCTTTCTTTTTTCAATTGAATTCACTTTATTTCAATTATGCATATATATGTGTGTTTGCACGAGTTCCACACAGGTAAGTGCAGGTACCTGCAGAAGCTGGAGACGCTGGGATCCCTCCTGGAGCTGGAGTTCCAGTAGGTACTGGGAACTGAACTGGGGGGCCGGTGCAAGGGCAGTACTTGCTCTTAACTGCTGAGGCATATCTCCAGCCCCAAATGTTCTTTAAGCTTGGTCTCTTGGGTACAGATTGAATGTCCCTTGTTTTAAAACCCCATCTTTCTGAACTGCTCGTTCTGCTGAGCTTTTGAGTGTCAATATACCACAAGTGGGAAATTCCACACCTGGCCTCACATAAGACGTCTCAGTCAAGCGCAAATGAATAAAAATAGTATATTAAATTGCCTCCAGGCTCTTTGTATGAAGCATGTATGATTCTTAACTGAAGGGGGCTGAATAACTCAGGTACATGCATACCCAGCACCCCAAGGCTCAGGGATCACTACAAATAAGTACAATTTGTAGTACAATACAGCACTACAAATAAGTAAATAAACAAATAAAGTAAGTGCATTTTATGTGTAGACTTAGGTATTGCTTCAAAATATCCTATGTATATTAATATTTTTTTAAAAACCTCAAATGATAAGGGACATACAATCTGCATAGCTCAAGAAGATAAATATATGGCTTGATGGCTTGTTGCATTTCCATGAATATTTATAATGATTAGCATTTACATTTTCTTTGAGATAGGGTCTTACTATGTAGCCCTTGCTAGCCTAGAATTTAGGATATAGTCCAGGCTGGCCTTGAACTCCTGTCTCTGCCTCTGGATGATGAGACATCACAATTTCTTTATGAAGAAGTGTCTGTTCAAGCATCTTTCCAATTTTAAATTTGTGTTTGTTTTATATTTATATTTTCTGGAAGGGAGATTTACCAGGTACATGGTTCCAAGTTGTTATATTTTGAGACAAGGTCTCACTGTGTAGCTCTGGGTTGCCTCAATCTCCCTGAGTAAATCAGGCTGGCCTTGAACTCATGGAGATCTGTCTGCCTCTGACTCCCGAGTACTGAGATTAAAGGCCTCTGACATCTTGCTGGTCTACAAATAATTTTTGACTTTGAGGTTTAGTTTGTCATTTGCCTAATCCTCCCTCCTGCCCCACCCCACCCCACCCCACCTCTGTGTGTGTGTGTGTGTGTGTG